GGGGGGAGCTGCTGCCCTTTAGGAGGAACGGCAGCCTGCTCTTCCCATTTCTGTACTTCCCAGGACTGTGTTCTCTCTGGGCAGGAATTTCACCCGAAGGAGGGGGAAACTTGCACGTCCATCTTCTGTGCCATCGGGGGGCAAATGGTTCTGACTCAGCCACGGGGACCGAAAAGGCGCCTGAAATCGCATCCACACTGGAAGCTGAGTCACTAATGGCGAGAGGCGCGCCGTGTACATGCACACGGAAGGCAGGAGCTGGGATGAGCTATGGGAGACGGCGGCAGTGGAGAAAACCGACTCCAGCAGGTTAGTCTCCCCGCCCCAGTGGGGAGTGTCTTTCAGTTGAGGTGACATGGTCAGAGACTGGAGGGTACCAGGCACCCCGGGATGGTACCAGAACCCAATCGGCACGTTCACCTCTGGTGCTGTGGTCGCAGGTCCGAAGGGGGTGGGAACCGCAGAGGCACCCGGAGCAGGACATCTCCGGAGACCCAGACTGACAAGTGACTTGCCCTTCCTCTTCCCCTATTCCAGAAAAGGGGCGGTTCAGATGGTTCCAAAAGGCCCCCAGGTCTCGCTGACTGTGGCAGAAGAGACGGCCCCTGCAGTGCCCAGGGTCTGGCGTGCTGGCGGATGACTTGGATGTGGGGGTCTCAGCAGACGCTCTAGAAACAGGAGCCTGAGCTGGTTCTCTCAGTTCCATGCTCCCTGAGCAGATCAGGCAGTTGGAAGGGTGTGAGACTGCCAGAGGCAGCTTCCATGCCCCCGGCTGTGGGGAAGAGACTATTGCAGGGCTGACAGGGTTGGGAGCCCAGGGGCTTGTGCATAACCCACACGTGAGGCCGTGGGCCCAGGCTGAACTGGGCAAAAAGAGGAAGGGAGGGGACACAGCCGGAGACGGGGACACTCAGCAAGTCAAGAAACGTGACCCCGAGGTGCGGCCAGCCAGCGGCACCGGGCCTGGAGAGAGGCCCTGGGAGGGGCAGCACCAGGGCGCCCAGGCACAAACTCACAGGCACAGCTGACAAAGTGCAGTCCAGCGTGCGCAGGCACATGCACGTCTGCACGCGGCGGCCGCCTGCTCGTTCAGGGGCATCCTTGCACTGCGGCTCCGGCCCCTCCGCCGCAAGCTGGCAGCCAGGGGCATCCTTGCACTGCGGCTCCGGCCCCTCCGCCGCAAGCTGCCAGCCACCTGCCCTCCCTTCAAGGCCGCAGGCCAGCTCCCCCAGCCACAGGGGAGCACCGGCCCCATTGACTGCAGTCAGTCCCAGCTCCACAGGCCCCATCAGCCACACGCCTCCCTCCCCGAGAGGCCAGGGGCAGCGCTGCCGGCCAGGAATCACAGCACACCGCACTCTCAAGCGGGCGGTACCGTAGAGGCGCTCCAGATCGTCCCGGCCCGAGAGCAGCCAGCCCCTGAAGAGACGCAGGTGGTAGGAGCACTGGTGGAGGTGGTGGGCCAGAGGGGCGTCCAAGGAGAGGCTCTGTCTCACGGCACAGTCGGAGGAAAAACGGCGCAGCAGCTGGGCAACACAGCGGTGTTCGCGCACACCTGGAGGAGAGCGGGACCACAGCTGAGAAAGGAGACAACGGAGACAGGTGGGGAAAGGCCATGCGCTGAGCCCCAGCCCCCGGCTGAGGAGCAGGAAGAGCCCTCTCCTCCCCACCCGACCCCAGGCACAGTGCCCCCGAAGAGCTCATTTACATTCAGAGGCCCAGCTTGAAAACCGTTCCAAAATGCCAAGCCCCAGAACACGTGTGTCACTAAGGCCTAGTGGAGCTAGGGAACAAGAAAGGCAGCCCCGGGCCTGGCCCTGCTCCCACCAGGCCGGTGTTCCTGAGCACAGGGGAGAAAGCGCACGGCTTGGAGGGCCAAGCCAGGGAGGCAGCCAAGAGCTCATTTACATTCAGAGGCCCAGCTTGAAAACCGTTCCAAAATGCCAAGCCCCAGAACACGTGTGTCACTAAGGCCTAGTGGAGCTAGGGAACAAGAAAGGCAGCCCCGGGCCTGGCCCTGCTCCCACCAGGCCGGTGTTCCTGAGCACAGGGGAGAAAGCGCACGGCTTGGAGGGCCAAGCCAGGGAGGCAGCCAGCCCCGGGGGAGCACGAGTCACTCACAGCCCCCAAGACGACGAGTGCGCCAAGAAAAACCGGTGACTTACTTCGTAACTGTTCTTCGAGAAGCGCTGCGCACGTCCATTCCACGTAGGTGTGTGCGGAGTTTCCCTCACTGGTACCCGTCGGGCCAGCCGGGGAGCCGCTGCAGTGGCGCCGCTATAGCGGTGCATGTGTCCCCCGCTGGCCCTGCACCCCCCAGGCGGGAGGGACGTGGAACGGAGGTGAGAATACAGGAGGTAAGTAACCGTTTCCTCGTCGAGTGCTTGCTCACGTCCAGTCACCAAGGTGACTCCAAAGCACAAACCTCAAGAGGCGGGTCGGAGTCTACCTAGAGACGGATCGCAGCACAGCCCCTCCTCCCCGGCGTGCTGCGTGCTGGCGCAGTGATCTGCAAAGGTGCGCACCAACCACCAGGCAGCGGCCCTGCAGATCTCCACGATGGGCACCTGGGCCGCAAAGGCTGTGGAAGAGGCTTGCGCTCTCGTGCAGTGCGCCCTAATGGGCAGAGCCAGAACCCGCACCAGCTGGTAGCACTCCCTGCCGCAGTCTGAGAACCAGGACGAGATACGCTAGGCTGACACTGGCCGGCCCCTCATCCTTTCTGCTAATGCTCCCAGCAACTGGGGGGGGCTTGTGGAAGGGCTTGGTCCTCTCTAAATGAAAAGAGAACGCACGCCTCGTTCAAGCATGTGGAGCGCCTGTTCTGCCCCCGAGCTATGGGGTTTGGGGTAAGCCACAGGGAGAAATACGTCCCGATGGACATGGAAATGCGACACCACCTTAGGCAGAAACTCATCCTTTCTGCTAATGCTCCCAGCAACTGGGGGGGGCTTGTGGAAGGGCTTGGTCCTCTCTAAATGAAAAGAGAACGCACGCCTCGTTCAAGCATGTGGAGCGCCTGTTCTGCCCCCGAGCTATGGGGTTTGGGGTAAGCCACAGGGAGAAATACGTCCCGATGGACATGGAAATGCGACACCACCTTAGGCAGAAACGGCGGG